ACCTGTGCTGCTCAGGAAGGCCAGGCTTGAGACAGGGAAAAAAACAGACTCTTAATTAAAACCTGAGGGTACTTGCAATAGATAGTTCAGGAAATAATTATTTGTTTTTTCATCAGTATGCCTTTTTCTTAGGTAAAAAGGACTCCTTTTTACCCTAAAGAGCATAATGGAGGAAAAATATTTGGCTAGAGTAAGTGGAAGGTGTGGACAGGATGAGGACATTAATGATGTTTCCTAGAGTGAAATCATCTTTCTTTGATTCTTGCCCCTCCCCTCCGGCCGATGGGTCAGAGTGAGGGCTGTGCTTTTTAATCACAGGAACATAATTATTCTTTAGTCTTATGGGTTTGTCAAATCCCTCTCTGACTGCCCAAAATCACTGTCCAGGAAACAAATCTGCAAGATTCGGCCAGAGTGAAAGCTTTCCAGCAAGTCACACGTGCTTAGTAAAGATCCCACATCCCCCTTCTTTATCATCTCCAGTGTCTGCTCCCTGCTAGTTGCTGACTGACTTCTCTGGCCCCAGCTGAGTTCCATCCAGTTCCATCCAGACTCTGGACATGCTCTTGCTTCTCATCCCCTGGCTCGTTCATTACTCTGGGAGGAAGAGTCTCTGCCGTCGTCAACACACGGCTTTCAAGGCAGCTCTACACATCCAAATCCAGTTGGCAAATACGTGGCAAGTTTTTCTGGGTCGAGTATGAAGTGACAAATGACGCTTACTCCTGTGTTCCACGGCCAGTTACACGACCAAAGTTTACTGCTGCAAGGGAGGTGAGAAATGTCTAACTGTGAGCTCAGGAGAAAAAAGGAAATGGATTTGGTGAGTAGCTATCCAGACTCTACCACATTATTTTCTCTAGCCTTCAGCCTAGCTCCCTCCCTGATTTTTACTTTTTTGACCCCTTCATGGGATAATTCAGCCAAGTTCTGTTATTTGAAACAACTTCTGGTAGGTTGAGCCTGGGTGGTAAACTGAAATTCCAGGACTCATTTTCGTCAAGTGCCACATGCGTCCTAAGAGGCAGGATCTCCCAGACTCCACAGAACAAGTGGTGAAGGGAAAGGAGAGATCAGGGTGGGTGGTGGGTAGAAGGGGCCTGGGACGGTCACGAGACAGCTGTCCAGGGGGGCTGTGCAAACACCTCCACCCCTGAGAGCTCCAGAGGAACGGATGGGTCATTGTCTGAGCATTGAGGCTTCGAACATAAGGAAAGCCTGAGCGAGTATGAGGCAGGAAAGCTCAGGGCTGGGTTTTGGTTGTCAGCTCATGTCTGTGGACTTTTTAATCCCAGGTGCTAGAGCACGTGAAGACAAGATTGTTGTCAGCAATTCCTGCCAAGAATTTGGAGTCATTTACCTTAATCTGTCAGAAAGTAGATGAGAGAAACTGCTCCTTACGTGTATTTAATCAGATTTCCACAGAGACAACGTTAATGTGAATTACCCAGACTGTTCAGCACCACTAGACACCTCCCTGCCTAAGTCCATATGCAGCATGACTCTTAAAGTCAGGGTGGGATTTTGCAAAATATTCTCTTCCCTTAAAGAATCCCCTCTCTCCAGCTGGACTACTGACATTTTGGGCCAAATAATGTTTTATTGTGGACAGGGAACTGTCCTGTGTGGTGTGGCCTACGTAGCAGCATCCTAAACGTCTAACCTTTAGATGTCAGTGGTACTCACTCCCCCTCCAACCTACAGCAATAAAAAATATCTCCAGACATTCCCAAGTATCTACTGTCTCCAGCTGGAAACCACTGAGGTGGAGAGAGGTACAGCTTGAGACTTTCTGGAATAATAAATTCCAAAAACATGTATTTTCCTGGCCTATCATAGAAGTAAATACTTAATTGCCGGCCCCAGGATAGCATGAACTCATTAACATATTTATTTATGATTTGTTCATTGGTTGATTAATCCTTTGGTTAAAGTTCAATGAAATGAAGGACTATAGATGTGTGGATGAACTGGTCGGGAGAGGAACAGTAGCACAGTGTCAGAAACAGAAGCTCCTAAGAAGTCAAGAGTAAGAGAACCGATATGTGATATAAATACCTCGTACTTGCCAAGCATGATGTTGTACATAAAAATATGCAGTCTTTCACCTAATCCTTGTAGCTACCCTTCCAAGTACATTATAAGCAATCAGTAAGTATTATCAATTACAGCAATACCAGTTATGGGAGATAATACCCTGACTTTCAAATAAAGGAAATAAAGCTCATAATGGGTACTTAACCTGGGTTTACAGAGACGGAAGACAGCAGAGCTGTGACTCAAACTCAGGGCAGCTTTACCTGCGAACCCACACTCTTTCTACAATAGATATGACCCGGGAAGTCCTCTGTAGCGTCTCCACGTTCTCAGGCGAACAACAGTCACCCGGGGAAAGATTTTCCATGTACCTCAGCAAGGCAGTTGCAAGAGAGAGCACCGAGAGTGTCAGGGCCCAGCAGACACACTGCGAGTCTGCATGAAGCCAATCAAGAATTCTCTCAGGAAGACCGTTGGAGTCTATGCCACTGAGGCCACAGAGAGAAGAAAGGAAAAGGAAAAGAGAGCTATTGTTGCCAAGAGCAAATGAAGGCTTCGACCAAATATATTGCAATTATTTCTACAAAGATGGAGATAAAGAAACAATGTTTTACCCTTGAATAGATTTAAATGACTCTCAGGGAAATTTCTGATCAGGGTCCAGTCTTTCCCTGCAAACCCAGTAAATACTCCATCCAAATAAAGATACCAGCACCTGACCATTTCAATTCATCACAGTGCCACGACACAGTCCTTACTGTGAATTTGGGAACACTCACTCACTGCCTCCTCCAAACCAAGAGCAGCCCTTGGGTCTACTCTCAGAGCTCTCAGACCCATTTCTGGACTACCTCTGGGTATACAGTAGAGGTGCACATACACGGCAGGCAACAAACATATCGAAAGATGTTCTATGTCACATGTCATCAGAGAAATGCAAATCAAATCACAATCAGAAATCACCATACACCTAGCAGAACGACCCTAATCTGGAACACTGACACCACCAAAGGCCGGCAAGGCTGTGGAGCCAATAGGAACTCTCAGCTCATTCCTCGCTGGTGGGAAGGCAGAATGGTTTGGCAGTTTCTCACAAAATTTGACATACTCTTATAATATGATCCAATAATTGCACTTGTTGTTATTTACCCAAAGGAGCTGAAAACTTATGTCCACACAAAAACCAGCACATGGACGTTTTTTAGCAGCTTTATTCATAATTGTCAAAATTGGAAGTGACTAGATGTGCTTTAAGTGGGCGAATGAATAAACTGTGGTACATCTAGACAATAAAAGAGTATTCGGTACTTAAAAAAAAAAAAAAAAGAAGAAGGAGAAGGAGAAGAAAAGTTACCAAGCCATGAAAAGCCAGGGAGGAAACTGAAACGCACATTACTAAGGGAAGGAAACCAAGGTGAAAAGACTGCCTACTGCATGATCCCAGCTATATGACATTCTGCAAAGGCAAAACCACGGAGACAGAAAGATGATCGGTGGCCTCAGCGGCGGTTGGAGTGGGAGGGATAGACGAGCAGACCCTTGGGCCCAAGAGTAAATGCCTCCTGTTTTAAGCTACTGGTTTTTGCGGTGGTTTCTCACACAGCATTTGCACAGACAGAAGCACCAAACGAGCAGCTCCTGATAACAACTGCACATGCGTGCTTCCGCACACACACACGCACACACACACACACACACGTATGATAAAAACTGGCCTTAAAAGGAGATTTAAAAAATTGAAGTGGATAACAGAGAGAAAGATTTTTAATATCACAGAAGTAGACAGAGGCCACTGCAGGTGAAAGGCTTGGCAAGAACAAAGATCCGTAGCTGGAAATGGTGAGGAGCTCCAGGAGCCCGGTGAGGAGCCCGTTAAGGAGCCATTCCGGCTCAAGCAAGAGATCTGTACAGTTTTCCTGTTTGGCATAAACTCCAAAGCTGGGTTGGGATGAGCGTGTGAAAGACTCTGAATGTCAGCCTAAGGAAAAGTGACCTGTGTTCCAGGAGGGACAGTTAAGAAAAGCTAAAGCTGCTTTTGTGAGATGGGGCTGAACAGGCGACTTCAAGCCAAAGCTCTTTGCACAAGTCTTAGAAAGAGGAGTGGGAGGCGATTCTCCAGGAGAGTGACATCAAAAAGGAGAGGAAATCAATCCTTTTACATACAGAGAGGTGGCTCTGCTGGGTCACGTGTTTACGTGAAGGGACCCTGAGTGGCTCTGTAATGAAGACATTTTCAAGGTTCCGAAGACGGACATCTGAGTTAAGACACAGACCGGTAGAGGAGGCTGCATTAAACGTCTGTCTGTAAATTGCCCAAACATGGGATCTTCTGAATCACCTCCTCATGACTGACGAAAAGGGGGGCAGGGAGTGGGAGAAGGAGAGACCCTTCAAACTGTCTGGAGTCTGGAGCCACAGGAGCCACTGTGAGCCAAATGATGTGCTCCCTGAGAGAAACCATCCAGAACAAGTCCTGAAGCTAAAATCTGAATCCCTTTTTGCAATAAACTCCTTAATCCTATAGCTAAGAAAACCAGTAAAATTCAAGGGAGAAGGACAGGGCCAGGTTGAGGCAGGATTTCATTAGAGACACAAAGGACTGAAGTTCAAAATTGCAAATCACAATCTCAATCTGTCAGTCAAAGGCAGATAAGAAAGGGCATTTTATGCAGAGTCCTTTGTTGGAGAAAACTGCTAAAAAAAAAAAAAGAGAACAAGCCCAGATGGCCAGTGCCTAAGGGAGTATGAGATGGGCCTACAGGAAGTCAGGCAAAAGAAGATAAAATAAATTTCACATGCACTGTTTCTTATTGCCATTTCTTCTTTGTATGGTTGCTATGGGAACTGTGTTTCTAAGGCTATGTCTCTCCGGTGCAAAGCAATCGAGCATTTGGGCCAAAATGACCAGTCAATTTAATCCAACTGGTTTAATTGATTTATTTCCATCGCATGCTCTCCCTCACCCGTGGCCAAATTGAGTGGCTGCTGAACCGAATTTGGTGGCATCTCGCAGAAATGCAATCGGTTCTCCTGGCTGCGTGTCTTTGCCTTCCGTCCCAGCGATAAGACTGCGCCACTGGAATATGCCTGTCCTGCTGGGGCCTGTGCGTCTGGGGATCGCGAGCAGCTCCAGAAGGGTGTGAAGGGGCAGCTGTGAAGGCAGGGAAGGGCCACTGGGACAGTCCACACACTGGAGTGAAGGACCCGGGCTCCCAAACAGAGGAGTGGAGAAAAGTAGGGCTTGAGAGGCCGGGTGACCAAGCAGAAAAGATGCAAGACCGAGGAGCTGTGTGAGGCAAGGCAGGGCTGAGAGACCGAGATGCCAGCACCCAAGGAGACCCCAACACTGGGGCCATCCGATCCCAGTCAGAGGCTGCTTATCAGGCCCCTGCCCAGACGGTCACCCATGCAGACGTGGGCAACATCCTCTGCTGCCACCTCCTTTCTGGAATCCAGTCAGTCTGAGTCCGGCAGCCCGTCACTAAGCCACGTCCCTCGTGCGGCCCTGACCTGACATCAGGTCACGCTTCTGGACAGCTGAGGAAAACTGCCAATTTCCGTCAGATTCCCCCAAGTTCATGCTCTGGGCACCTTTGCTGACTCGGCATCAAAGAATTAACCCTCTCGGCTCCATCCCAACATCATCAAGCTGAAGTTCCTGGCCCTTAGTCCATGCCTGTTCCCTGTCTAGGTCTTCAGCCTCCGTCTGCCAGGACCGGAAGCCCGGACTCACCCGGAATCAGATCACCATCTCTGGGCTGGTCAGTACTGCTGCTTGAAAGCCTCTCTCTCTCTCTCCCTCCCTCTCTCTCTTTCACCAAAGAAGAACAGAGCAAACAGGAATAGCCACATAGAAGGCGCTAGAGAAGGCCAGATTTGTAAAACCCACATCCGTGCAGGGTTTTCCTTGTGGGAGATACTGGCGGCGCGTCAGTATAAATCCTTCCTGAGCAGAACCGGCCCGTGGTGCCATGCAGTGGGCTTTGAGCTCTCTCCTGCTGATATATTGTCCAGAATCTCAGTTGCCAGGACTCCCTGGTCTCCCTAACTCTCTGCCATTCCCAATACCCCCCAAGACACAGGTGGCTTCGTGTGGCCATGGCCTCGTTTTCCTTACCAAATGGACCACTCCCGTGTCCCCTGAGAGACAGGGCTTTTCCTCAGCAAAATGCGTGATGCTTAGAAAATTCTTGCCCGGACAACCTAGTCCATAAGAGATGCTCTTACTGCCATTGTAAAAAAAAGCCACCTCAGGAACGGAAATCAGAGGTCATCTGTCAAAAGAGATGTTCCTAGTAAGTCAGATGGAGTAGGGGATTATTCCCGCCTTTCAAAAAATCTGTGCTTGCTGATTCTAGAGACCAAAACTCAGCACCCCGCTCAATTAAAATCAGTCTAATTGTAAATACTGAAAAACGTACTGACGATGATGGTTTAAGTCATAACCGAAATGCCCCTGGAGGTTATGAACGCCTGCCCACACACCTCCTTCACTCCCATCTTAACTTAGAAGGCAGATTTGGTTTCACAGCTGAGTCTCAAAGACAGTGAATCGCTAACTTGGCCCTTCTGACTCCGGCCTCCACCTTGTCCCGTAACACCGCCTCCTGCCCCAGCTTCCGGTTCCACAGCTGGCATCTTTCTTCCTTCCGTCTGTAACCGCCTATGAACTCCGAGTTGGCCTCTGTCTCTAAATAATCACTTGACTATATTATTCATATATTAATAAATTTATTATTTAAAACCTTTCCCAGAGAGAAACAAATACTGTATAATCTCACTCACATGGGGAACCTAAAAAAAAAAAAGAATTCATGAGAAACAGCAGATCTGAGGTTGTCAGGGATGGGAGGCAGGACAGTGAAGGAAGGTGGACAAAGGGTGCAAAAAATGAGTAAGTTCTAGAGACATAGTACACAGTATGGTGACTACAGTTAACAATACCGTATTGTATATGCAAAACCACTAAGAGGAGATCTTAGAAGTTCTCACCAAATGCACACAAAAAATTGCCACTACGTGGAGTGATGGGTGTGTTACCAATCTTCTTGTGCTTATTTCACAAAATAGACATGTACCAAATCACTAGGTTGTACACCTTAAACTTATGTAGTTATGTCAATTATATCACAATAAATCTGGAAAAAATAAAGTTTTCAGAAGGTTGTACCCAAATTTCATGGATACAATTTGCTTTAATTTTATATTGAACAGGGGTGCCTTGGTGGCTCAATCAGTTAAGCGTCTGCCTCTTGATCTTAGCTCAGGTCATGGATCTGAGGATCTTGAGATCAAGCCCTGTGTCAGGCTCCACACTCAGAAGAGAGTCTGCTTAAGATTCTCTCTCTCCCTCTGCCTTTGCCCCTCCCCCTCCCTGTGCTCACTAATGTACGCTCTCTCTCTCTCTCTCTCACACACACACACACACAATTTATATTAAACAAGTTAATTTTTCTGAGCAATAAATAAATAAATTGCACTTAACGTCTTCTGAAGTTTCTCTTGTTGTTAATAGAACACTCCCCCTACCCACCTTGCCTTAAATTACTTTATAGCTCTGTGTATCTCCCCAAGTACAAGACCAGATAGATTTGGGATCAGACTTGCAGAGTGACAGGAACCAGTTGGAATCACTGATCAGTAATGATGAGGCTTGCAAGTCATTATTCCAAATGTGACGAGACATGGATCTAGGGCTTTAATCACTCTGATCTATGGTGAGTGTGAGTGTGTGCGTGCATGAACATTCACTAGATGGATGGCAAGGAGGGGAGTGGCTTAGGAGATGAGGCATCTGGGAAACATCAGCCTATGTCTCTACTTGTTAGATGTGTAAGAATATTCTAATGTTTCCTGAGTTTCACAGTAGCATAACCCAGTAATGATGGTGATTTTAAGAATTTAATTTGGCAGGTGACTGATTTACAATTTGATCCAATCACTTATGGTATTTTCATACAAAAATAATTAATAACAGAGGGAGATGTTCCAATTTAAAAACTAATATCTGCCCAAGAAAAATGTTTTTCTCCCTGGATTTTCATAATGGTTTTATTATGACTAGACTAGGATATCACATAAACACCTAACTGAATGATAGATCTTAAGTGCCAACGGGGATGAATGTGTTATGTAAATGACATATTCTTCCGCAGGACAAGGAGACATGTGCTTTACTGGCACGGGCAAAACGTGGCCTCCAGTGTCTCCTCCAGGGCTGAAGGCCAAAAAGCAGGTCTTCAAGGACTGGAGAGGGAGGAGCATTCTAGTCCCACTTAGGACAGATCCCATGAGGCTCCAGAGCTAGGATTCTAGGCCAAACTGCTCCCCCACGGGTAGGAAATACCTACAGTTTGCTTCCAGAAAAGTAAACTGCTCCATGAACAGTAATACATACCCTCTACTGAAGCAGTTTAAATCTCGAGGAATTTTAATACTCTGAACTAACTGTACTGGCTGGTCCAATAAGCTTGCAGGTTAAAGTGACAAGTGGTTGGGGGCACTGATACAGTCGTGGACTGCGGGTTATTGTTGATGGGGACAAGGATCCAGGCTCTCTCTAAGGCAAGCTTTGAAAATTGATTAGGAATTCTGCTTTTCCATATTTCCAAAGGACACATCCAATGAAGGGTTGGTATTCAAAATAAATATATATAAAGACCTTATAAAACGCAACACCCCAAAACCAAAATAATCCAATGAGAAATGGGCAGAAGAAATGAACAGATCTTGCTCCAAAGAAGATATCCAGATGGCAAAAAGATACTGAAAACATGTTCATCATCACTCAACATCAGGGAAATGCAAATCAGAACTATAATGAGGTATCACCTCACACCTGTCAGAATGGAGGAAGTCAACAACACAAGAAACAACAAGTGCTGGTGAGAACGTGGAGAAAATGGAACCCTCGTGAACTACTGGTGGGGATGTAAACTGGTGCAGCCACTGTGGAGAACAGTGTGGAGCTTCCTCAATAGAGCTTACCCCCGACCCAGTAATGATACCACTGGGTATTTGCCCTAAGATACAAAAACACTAACTCAAAGGGATAGAGGCAACCCTGTGTTTACAGCAGCATTATTTATGTTAGCCAGATTATGGAAGCAGCCCAAGTGCCACGAATGGACAAGGAAGATGTGGTGTGTACACACACACACACACACACACACATACCACACTGGTATATCATTCAGCCAGAAAAGAAGAATGAAATCTTGCCATTTGCAACAACATGGATGGAGCTAGAGAGTGTTACGCTGAACAAAATAAATCAATCAGAGAAAGACAAACACCACATGATTTCACTCCTGTGTGGAATTTAAGAAACAAACAAACAAAAATGAACAAAGGATAAAAAAAGAGTGAAAGAAACAGACTCTTAACTATAGAGAACAAACGAATGGTCACCAGAGGGGATGGGGGAAGTCAGTGAAGGGGATTAAAAGCACACTTGTCTCGATGAGCTCTGAGCACCGTACAGAATCGCTGAATCACTATATTGCACACCTACACCTAACATAACGCTGTATGTTAACTACACAGGAGTTTATGATAAGATAGAATAGAATAGAATAGAATAGAATAGAATAGAATAGAATAGAATAGAATAGAATAGAAAAACATTATCTTTTAAAAGTAATTCTGCTTTTCCTCCCAGGTAGAGAAAAGAAGAAGCTTTTATACCCTTTTTTCTACATAGAGGACTGCAGCCCTGCACGCAGCCCCTTACATAAACTTCCAAGCTGTCTTGATTCTAAGAGACACAAGGAAATGAGGAACAGGACCATCTGTCCCCTGGATTCTGCGCAGGGGAATCAAAGGAATAAAGGATCAATACAAGACAGTCCTCTTTTCCTAGGATCTTCTCCAAGATGCTTTCTCCTGTCTTCAGCTTCAGAGGCCTTACTGCTCAGCCTCCCCTTGAGACCCCGGGAAATAAAAAACAACCACACAGCCCCCTCAGGCCAGGATTCCAGCATCCCAGATTACCCTGACATATAAATGGGAATCAAAGTCAAACCAAAGCATGGTTAGCCACCGTCTACAGGGCACACTGCAAATGCTCCATCGTCCTCCATCGCCCTCAACAAACAACCCACACAGGACCCACCTCCTGACATCTCTTAGCAAGTCCTTGATACCCTGAGAGGAACACCAGTGTTGTCTGTCACAGAGGGAGCAGCCCCCGAACTCAATGCTCTCCCAAAGTGTTTCACTACAACTCAGCCAGCTCCTACCACGTGCGGGAGACACAGGGTGCATAAGAACCATTCTGGCTTTCCAGGCGCTCATGGTCTACTGAGGGAATGAGACGAGGCCTCAGCAACACTGAGTCCACTGAGAAGCTAGCTGTAGTCAGACAGGAAGTCGCCAAACACGTGTGGTGAGGGGGACGGGGTGCACGCTGAGGGGAGAGTGAGTGCGTCGGGTGCTCACGTTACTACTCTCCGGACTAAGACAGCGTCTCTCAAGCTCGGCACTCGTGACATTTTGGCTGAATGGGTCTTTGTTATGAGTGCTGCCCTGTCTAGTGTAGGACACGCAGCAGCATCCCTGACCTCTACTCACCCTCGTCTGTCAGACACGGCAAGTGTCCTTCAGTGGGCTGAACTGCCGCCATCTGAGAGCCACCTGACTCTCACTTTGGACGGATGTATTCAGAGACGGTACTGCTAATTTCAGTGACGTCCAGGCAGTGGTTTCCGAGAAATCTTCTTTAACCCACCCCACCCCACCCCGCCAAGGAGAAATGTGGAGGGATGTCCCAGGGTGCTGTGGAGATGGAGTCCGGAGAGGGTGATTTCTTTCGTTTCTTAAGAAACCAGTTCAACATCTGGTCAGAAAATATGTGTCAGCCCTGACTGTACACCTTGTGTTGCGTTAGGTGCTGAGGATGTCAGATGTTAGATTCATCTCCCAGCTGCTGGGAGCTTTCCTGGAAGACATCGTTAAGCTATTGTCCCTTTTCAGTGGTGGCTGCCTTGGCTGGAGAAACCCACTTACCCAAGGTCCCACCTCTTCACAGGGCGTCTGAATCCAATCATTGTGGGGATATAAAGGTCCATTCATTCCCTCCTACTCATGTCACCAGAATGGCCACAGCAGCCCTGGAGTTCCCCATGGGCACCTTCAACGTCTCCCTCTGTTCCATCCTGCTCCCTTCCCTTCCTTTCCTTTTCCTTCCCTGGATGCCAGGATCTCAAAAGCACTCCCTAAGAATCACGCTGCAAGGTGATCTCCATCTCACAGCCTGCTTTCCAGGGAACCCAACTACAATAACTTTGAAGGCACAGCTCCTGTCCCCACGTGCTCATACTTACAGGCGTGGTGGTAGTATTTTTATCCCGAGGGGTTGTACTTCTGGGGCTCTGCTTCCCTCCTCAGCCCTCATTAGTACCCTCAACCTGACGTTTCAGAATGTTGGCTCAGAGGATCAGGCCCTCCACAAAGCAGTCAGCACACAACGATCCCTCCAAGCAAAGGATTAAATTCCAGCGACTTTCCCAATGGAAAAACAATTAGATTGCCATTCTGTGGACCTACCTATGCATCATTTGGCTTGGCCCAGGGCACAGGGCTTTATCCTGAGACAGAAACAATATCACACTCTAAGCACCCGTGCCTGGTTCCTGGCCAGCCCTGCTGAAAAGGGATAAGAGGGGTGACACTCCACAGAGGCAAAGCTGGAACTTTGAAGTTTACCCTTTGGTCTAATTTCCTACAGGTTGACTTTTAACTGCTGCTTCTTTCTGTCCAATTTTAACCACACTGTTTCATATGTTCTCTCTCTGCCTACCCAAAATAACTGGCCCTTCTTTGCTCTTTTGTCCTCCTTATTCTCACCTCTTAGCCCAAATAGAAGAGGCCTTCAGGATAATGTGAGGAAAGGAGGTCAGTGCAGTGGATGTGAAATTTCCATTTCTGGCAGCAGCAGCTCTGGCCCTTTGCAGAATTATAAAATAAATCAACCTCATCCCTGGCTCCAAGCTCCCGTTTAGGGACTTCTTTCTAGCCCCAGTCCCAAGGCTCGAATTCTCACTAGAGTAGCACCTTGTTCAAGTAGTGCCTGTGCCCTCTGCAATTTCCTGCCTCCCATTTATCCATTAAAATCATTCTCTTTTTAAAAAAAAGTTATAGTAATAATAATAAAAACATAAAATAAAATCTTTCTCTTTTGACCCATTTATTGGGACCCTGGTAGATGCCCAGGAAGCTACTCGCGCGTGATTTTGAGCTGTGGTATGACTACATCATAGTGATTTGATGCATTATTCCACAGGCATTTATATTTCTCATTTGCATATCGTTTATATTTGTGTTTCCATCCTCAGGGCCCAAGAATGTAAGGACAGACTGTTAAGGTTTCATTAAGCACAGAGGGGCCGCTTATGGGCAAGGTGAACTTTCTCCATTCCATAAATTACACAGATAATACAGTTCCCATCACTCAGGGCTGAACAGAAACTCTAGCCACCCTGAGCCAAGTCTTCCCCTCTACCTGTCACTCCTTGGCCGTGCAGGAAGGCCAACTGCTTTTCCATTCTCATGCATACGACACTTACTGAACCAATCAACTGAGCCCAGCAAATGAACTGATACATTTATTTTGTGGAAATAAAATCAGGTTGATTCAACTAAGCTGACCAATTTGTTGCGGTGCCACTGGGAAATAAACTAGCAGGCCATTTTTCTCTTCCTGTTTGTTTTCCACATGAACTTCTGTAAAGCCAATTCAGTACTCACTATGTGGCTTAATTAAAATCAGCTTATAACAAATCAGCAGCAGATACTATAAAAGCACTAAGTTTCCTCAGAGGGATAGCGGGGCATCTATCCTGCCATCCTGCCATCACTGCCCTCAGATCTTCATAAGCCTGGGATGCAGGGGTCCAAGGGGACCATCGAGGACATACAGGGCTGAGAAGGAGAGAGAAAAAGCAGATACTTATCAGCCTTACAAATAATTGTACTCAGTCAACCAGACCTCACCTGAGAGTGAACAAAGGAAGGCGAGTCTGCGGGCGCCCAGGTGGCTCAGTCAGTGAAGTGTCTGCCTTCGGTCAGGTTGTGACCTCAGGGTCCTGGGATGGATCAGGCCCTGTGCTGGGTCTCCCTCTGTCCCTGCACCTGCCCCCCGGCCCCCAGAGCTCTCTCTCTATCAAATAAATAATTAAAATCTTTTTTAAAAGATAGGGGTTGTGAAGAACCACCATTTGGATCCCAAGCAAGCCCCAGGAAGCCGGGCTTTGGGGCAGATCTTGCTGGGACTTTAGGTCACGTGCTAGCTCCCATCCACCCTGATACGTCTCTGGAGGGGCAAACACAAGTTACCGCAGCTGTAATTAAGGCGATGAAGCCACTCTGCCTGCAAAACACAGAGATCTCTAGAATATTCTGTCAGACACCCCTGTGATCACCTTGTTTCAGTGTTCGTTTTCCACATTAAATCTTTTTTTCTCCTGGAGCAGTAATTATAAGCAACATACTCATGCCGCTGATCTGTTTGGGGCAAGGAGGAAGTAACCAAGGAGCTTATGAAGACCTTCACCTCCTCGTCCACAATGGTGCTCTTTTCCGCTTTCCACCCTCAGTTCTATGGCGTACACTCAGTGCTTGCCTCCAGTCTTCTGCTAAAGTTTCCATCATCTCTTGCTTCTCTTCTCTTAGTAGGTTCCTTAGGAAGGACTCAGAAAACCATTTCTTCCTGAGTTGTTCCACAGTGATTTACCTGGCGTCTCTACAACCCGAAGTCTCAAGGTCCTCTGCGGTACTTCGTCCCCTGCGCTGCTCATGTGTCCCTGGGCAGGTGATGACCGCCTGACCCCTGTCCTGTTTGAGCCGCTTCAGCTCTTCACTTGCAGGTTTGGCTTCTCTCCTGAGGAACCGCAGTGCTGGTCCCTCATGAGGCTCGCTCCCACTCAAGACCCTGGGCCTGGGCGCTTCCAACCCCAGCCCCACCACCCCCAAACCCATTTCCCACAGCTCTGCCTCACACACACTTCGGGCTGGCATTACACAAAAGGTAGCTCTTGGTTTCTTTAAAAATGAACCTTGTGTATGTGTTATTTAATTCTTTTTGTTCTGTGCTAATTCCTGGAGAAGAAAGGCATCGATTACTGAGCTAATGGACCATGTCTGCAGCACGAGTTCTGCCAACAGCTCTCGCGGAAGCCCGGTCCTGGACCTCTGCCTCCACGAGCCCCCTGTGCTACACAGCATCCTCCCCGATCAGTGACTGCTCTCCTGGAAGGGACGAGTGTGAGGTACACAGAGAAAGAGAGGCAGCCACTCGGTAGAACAGTGAATTGAAGCAGGCAAAAAAAGACTGGGAGGGAGAGGAATGCTAAGTCAAGAGACCATTTGCTGCTAGAGGCACACTCTACTGTAGAAAACCATTCTAATTCTTCTTAAGGTTCTTCCTCTTATCTGCTGAGATGAGTTCTTCAGCTCTCTTTCAACCCTAAATTCTTTCATAAAAACGTATCTCAAAGGAAACCTTGTGTACTGTGGGTGGGAATGCCAACTGGTGCAGCCACTGCGGAAAACAGTATGGAGGTTCCTCGAAAAATTATAAACAGAACTACCTCATGATCCAGTAATTTGACTGCAGAGTGTTTAACTCCAAGAATATAAAACACTAATTTGAAGGGATACATACACCCCTGTGTTTATGGCAGTGTTATTTACAATAGTTAAAATATGGAAACAGCTTAAGTGTCCATCGATTTATGAATGGATAAGGAAGAAGTGGTGTGTGTGTGTGTGTGTGTGTGTATGTGTGTGTGTATACATACACACACATATATGTGTGTTATATGAATATATGTGTGTATACATACATGTATACACACATATGTGTGTGTGTGTGTATACACACACACACACACACACACACAACAGAATATTACTCAGCTACAAAAAAAGAATGAAATCTTGCTATTTGCAACAACATGGATGGATCCAGAGAGTATAATGCTGAATGAAAAAATTCAGAGAAAGACAAATACCATATGATTTCACTCATACGTGGAATTTAAGAAACAAAACAAATAAAGGAAAAAAAAAAAGAGAGAGAAACCAAAAAGCAGACTCTTAATTACAGAGAACAGATGGCTGCCAGAGGGGACATGGTGGGGGCTGGGGGAGGGTGAACTAGGTGAAGGGGATGAAAAGCACACTTCATCTTGATGGGCAGTGAGTAATATATAGAATTATTGAATCACTGTATCATCCACCTGAAATTAATATAACACTATGTTAACTACACTGGATTTAAAATAAAAGTTTAAAAAATAAAAATTTTGAAAAATAAATGTAAAACCACATTATCCGTTGCGGCCATTATTGCTCAGAACCTAAAGAGTTTATCAAGCTCAGCATCCACGGTCCTGTAAAAGCCTGGGTTTTTCCTATTTCTCTGGCTAGTGCACCCTTGCTTCCTTGGCTTTCTTCCTTTTTCTACTTCCTTACAGAAGTCAGTGAGCATTCTACCCTCAGTCTCTGGGTAGCCTTTTCAACATCCACGTGTTTATCTCAGGGAAATAATTCTGTACTTCACTGTAGTTCCAACTTCTCTTCCATGACCCACGTTCATTCCCCATGGTCTCCAGATTCTCACCAGTAAGGACACACCAGTACCCCAACTGTTCCCAAAGTTAAACCATTAGAACCTCCCATCTGCATACCCAAAATCTCAGCCTGACCTCAGTGTCTGTTATAATCATTCTATTTCCCTTGTCTCTCAGTCCCCACCACGGCTACATTATTAGTGATAGCTCTGAAGAGGAGACGGCTAATGCTTCCAACACCATGTTCCCCCCTCCCTGCGGAGCGTGTACCTGGATTTCCTTTTCCAGCTTCCCTTGCTGTTGGGTGTGACCAAAGCAATGTAAGTGAAAGCAATATGCACCATGGCCAGACCTGACTCCTAAAATGAAGTAAACCGTACTTCTACAAGCGACACTTGTCCTCTTGCCCCACTGGCCAGCTGAAAGGAGAGAGCAAAGAACTCCTATGGACCCACATTGGACTAGTCCACGACAAGATCAAAAAAATAAACTTTTTTTATCTTAAACCTCTATTGTTTTGTTGGAGTTGTTAAAACAGTGGAGCCTCTCATGATGAATATAATTTTTACATTCTCATATTTTGTTTTAACTAAAATTTGATCATATTCTATATACTTGCCTTTGTCACTGAACATGATATATATTCTTCCAAATCTATTAGCATAGAGGCTACCCATTCTTGTTAATAGGGAGGTAACAATCCTATATGTCTCTATGTGTGTATATCAACATATTCAGTGTATTATATGCTATTATATGTAATATTATATGCAACATATATTATTCGATAGTTACCATAGATGAGCATTTCTTTGTTTTCAGATTTTCACTACTATAAATGATGCTTCAGAAACATCCTTACACATCCCCATGTGTATTACTGACACAACTATTCTTTTGATCATTAAAAACACTTGCTTCTCGTGACTCCTCTCTTCAGTGTACCACCACCCTAGTCCAGTCTGAGGGCAATTCCCTCAATTCAATGTCACTTCCATCTCTCACACCATGCCTGTGGTCACAGCCCTCATTCACACATTTACTCCCTCTCACTTAGACAGTGATGGGAGCCAGACTCAAAAGTTTTGGAATGCTGGCTTAAACAATTATTTTTTTTTACCAACCCCTTATTAGACATTGTGACTTTCCTCGAAGGGGACGCATGATGAGCTTTTTGCAAAGTTGCTTTACTGCAGTTTGTTTTTCCCACAGAGCATCTTGCATGATCTCTGTTAGAGACACAACATGGCAATCATTGTCTATGATTCACCATAACTAGTTGTGATGGTTTTGTTCTCCCTCTAACAAGGTAATTTTATGTCACACAGACACAGTCATAGACCTCCATGTGGCCCTTAAGAATCATAATCCAACACATCAGCTGACAACTCTTACTCCAGGGCCTTCACTGGAGAACGGAGTGAGTAACCCTGGGAGAAAATGTTGCTATTTCAGGCAACTAGAATGGGAAGAGAGGTAGAAAGGGACATATCATTATATACAACAGACCATAAATAATTAGCTTTTGTCTGCTATGTTACAGGAATTACAAATCCTAAATAATTAGTAAATCTTATTAGTAAGTATGACTGCATACACATGATGTGAAGCCATTCATCTTAAAAGTGAAAAATTCATTCAAGCCCATGGTATCACATAACATAAATTTAAGAGAGAAATGAATTTTTAATGGTGCTGATTGAGCTATGTTAAATTTATCCCTTTCTTCCAGAGAGAATTACTGAGATGTTCGGTATATCAGACTTTTGTTTATTTGTTCTCAAAACCATTACCTGCCCTTTCCCTGGTTTCCTCTGGATCCCAAGGAAATATATGTCTTGGACATGTCAGCTGGCATCAGGAAATTTTCGGCCAAGGGGAGGAACTGGTAGAACAGTAGGAAGAGGAGACAGGGAGAAGCCATGATTTTTGTTTCCCTCTCTTGTCTACCTTGGGTAGCATGTTTGACGGAAAGCCATTTTCCTCCAGACAGTCAGCCCTTCCTGTGTTCCAAGGTCCTTGAGCAGCCCCTCATTATGCCCAAATCTTCCAAAATGGTCCAGCCTTCTGGATACTGAAAACAAACTTCCTTCCATTGTCTTTTTAGTCCTCAGGGTGTTAGTGGTTTTCTGCTCTGATTACCTCACCTTTTCCTACTTGATTCCTCTTCTCTCTTATATAGCCAGCCATTTCCTCTCCCCAAATTCTCTGTATGAAGTGCTTAAAGGGGACCTTTTTTCTGATTAGACCTTAACTGAGATATTGTAGCCCATAATATATTTTTGGATATTAGTGGAGAGTCAGAGTCATGGGCCATGACATTTTATCAGTGCCTTTAGTTCAATGTAGCCAGGACTATCAAATGGTTCAAAAACCCCTAAAAATAGACCAAAAGATAATACATTTGAAAGCAAAGAAGGAAAAAACAGTAAAGCTTGACACTGACTCAGGATGGCCATTGTTTGCATTCTGGTATATACCATGAGCACTAATACAGAAAAAAAGGAAATTGTCACAACATCGGAATAATACAAAGTAAAATAAAAGACCATCTCAAGTAGTATGGTTCAGAAACTAGAGAAGAGAAAGGTAGACTATCTTGGCGGTTGAGTCAGATTGCTTAAAATAGAAGTCCTACTCACAGGCTTATGAGCTATGAGTCTTTGGGCAAGGTTCCTAACTCTCTGGTTTTTTACTTTCCTCATCTATAAAATGGGCTATTATTACTGCATATAATTTACTTCAGAGGATTGTTGTAAGAATTACATGAATTAATGCATGTAGACTTCTTAGAAAATGTCTGGAATACAGTCATCACCAAATGTCTGTCAGCTTTCATCATCACCACTATTTATTGTCATCATCATCAATTCCAGGTCGTAGAGATAGTTACAGTTAAGACTGGAATTCAAATACATAAAGGGAATGATTTCTGTGTGAATCAGAGTTCCTGAAATAAGTATCTCTTGATCTCATATTCTTAGAAGTGAAAAAAAATGTCTTTTAATAAAACATGAAGACATGTATAGTTTTACCCAAATACTTCTAGCAGGCTAGTTTCATATTGTGAAGGAAAGCAGGAGGTTGGCATGCTTTGCCCCTGAGACTAGAGAGGATTGGGTGAAGTTAAGATGTGTGCTTCTCCCTAGGAAATATAAGGAGAATTTTGTTCACTGTGGTTATTATTAAAGCTGTTCCCCCAAATATTTCCTGATTCTTTGTTTTTGGACAAAGCCATGTGACTAAGTTTGGCAAATGCATTTTAAGGAAGATATGTGTCACTTAAGACCCCATCTCCACTCTGGGTCCTTTTGCCTCCAGCATTATAGCTAGCAGTGTTAAAAATGGTTGCTGCTCATGAGTCTGGGTCCCTGAGTGGCCATGATAGATATGTAGTGTGAGGAA